CTCCTTTTGGAATAAGACTTCCCTAATTGCGAAATTTGAGGCGTCCATTCGAATACCGAAAGGCTTGGTGACATCGGAAAGACGGAGAACCGGTGGTGAGGATAAGCGTTTCTTTAACTCATCAAAGCACCGCAACTGGTCCTCATTGAGTTCGATCGCATCTCGAGAACGTTTTTCCTTGATACATTCGTGCAAAGGACCTGCAAACTGAGCAAAATCCTTGCAAAATCGAGAAACGTAGACAGTTCTCCACAGAAAGCTTTTCATTTGCTTCTTTGCCTTGGAAACTGGCCAATCTGTGATAACCTTCACCTTATTGGGGTCCATTCGAACGCCCTTGCGTCCGACAAAGTCACCTAAACATGGGATTTCGTCGACACAAAATTGGCGCTTGGACAGCTTGGTGTATAGCTTCTGCTCTTCACATCTCTTCAAAACCTTGTCCAGCGCGGCAAAATGCTCGTCGGCATCTTCACGCTTGGTGTACACGTAAATTTCGTCGAAGTAAATCCGGATCACGTCACGTAAATCCCTGAATACTTTTTGTAGCAGCCTGCTAAAGGTCCCCGGGCTACCACTGACTCCATGGGCGTGACGCGATATTCAAAAAGACCGTCTGGAGTAAAAAAAGCAGTAAAATATATATCTAATTCACGAAGCTTAACTTGGTAGTAACCCCAAAGTAAGTCCAGGCACGAGTACCAATAGCTGCCGGCCATCGAATCAAAGGTGTCTTCATTGCGAGGCATCGGAATAGCCGGTAGAACCGTAGCTAAATTCAACTGTCGATAGTCGTGCACAATTCGCAATCCGACTGGTTTCTTCACACAGAAAGTCGGTGCACAAAACGCTGACGTACTCGGTCGAATGATGCCAGCTTGAACCATCTCTTTGGTCCATTCCTGTATCGTTTTCATCTGATCAGGACTTTGGCGCCATTGTTTCACCGAAATAGACGTAGTATCAGGTTTGAGCAGAATCTCATGCTCAATTCCTTTACGTACTGGGGGTGTCTCATTCAGAAGCTCAGTGCGAAAAACCGTATCCGTATACTTATGTAGCGTATCGTACGCAGGATTGCCCTTAAAAGCTTCCCATCCTTGACACTTGAAGCGTTTCGCCTTCTCCGAGTCATGCGGATTGATAACAAACACTGCTTCGATGTCCTTATCCCTACGCAACATGTGCTGGAATTGCTTGGACGAAAAAGGCTTCGTTCGTTCAAGCTGGCCAGTATGACCATGCTGCCGATAGTAGTTGTAGATCTCACGGCTCTGCGCAATTCTGACGCGGCGTTGTCCTGCCATCAATGGGCTGGACGAGTCTTCGGCAGCGTAAGCTTTACAGTCTGCGTGCTCTCAACTTCGACGCGAGGTGCTATCTGTCTAGTACTCCAGTCGATCGATATTTGGGTTCTGCCCCCGCAGCCACATCATGCCTAAGACGACGTCCTTTCCTTCAGGAACAGGCATGACTTGGAATGTTCCCGTTGGCAAGGGAACCCCTGGTAGCTGCAGAGACATCTCTACCGTTCGACGTGGAAGATGCACAGCTTGATCATAACCAAGATCAACTTGCATCATGTCACCTTCAGTGACATCCAACTCAAGTTTTTCCACTAACTTCTCAGTTACCCCGTTCAGACTACTGCCACTGTCAATGAAATCGTGACGGGCCTCTCTTGGTCTTCCGTCTTAAATGCTCGAGATTCAGCCTCTAGGATCGCATACACTGCGCCCTATATGTATTGGTTTGTTTCAGTACGTTTTGGCTGAGTACAATCTGGAGAAATGTGACCAATCTTGTCACAATTTCTGCACGTAGCTGTCTTCTTCCAATTATCGTTCTTGTCCGTCTTCTTTTCGTAACGCTTGTTGTTCTGCTGCTTCGATATAGGCGGACGATGGATGCCCCGAGTCCGACGATCCTTTTGAAGGTTTCGAAGGTGCTCGAGGAGGTTTCCCGGAGTAGTGCGCAAACTCGAATTTCGAAGCAATTTCAATGGCTTCTTGTAGAGTTGATGGACTCTCTTCTTTGATCATCTTCGCTATTTCTTCACGTAACCCGTTTTTAAAAATGAAACGTTTTTCAAACTCACTGATAGCCATTCTATCCGCGACAGCAAGTCTTGAAACTTGGAGACATACTCGTGGATAGTCTCGCTTTGTTTAAGACGAGACATCCTCTCGCGAAATTGTACTCGAAGTCTTTTGGTCAAAAGCGCGTGCGCATCTGTTGCATAAGCAACGGCCTAGTGAGGCTCAGACTCGCTCTCTCACATTTGGCTATAAAAGCGCGATACCGGTTCAAGATAATATGCTGGAGATTATCGTCACGACACCTAACGATTATGTCTCCATATAACGCACGTATGCTCGGTGGCAAAGATCCACAATTCAATGTCTTCACCATACTTTCCTTCATACATTGGAGGGTCCTTCTCCTTCTGCTCACCCCTAGCGACAACGAGATATTCGAATCTAGCATTAGCTTGTTGCATTTGGGCTTGCATTTGCGCTTGGATCGGAGCTTGATACTGCAATTGCTTCTGCGTTATGTATACTAGCAGCTGCTGCATGGGCATGGTCTCAGGTCCAGCCACATATTGAGCAGCATCAGTAGCAGGGGAGGCTGACTCAGCCTGTACATTGGCACTGGCTCATCACTTGACGCTTGCGATCTTGTATTTGTTCGCATCGTGGGTTGAGTAGCTTCAGCGTCACTCGAACCACTAACACGGCTCTGCTGACGAGGACGAGGGTTCGGTGACGGGTGCTCAGCTGCACGATACCTTCTTTGAGCCATTACAAACTGGACTTCTCAGCGCAAGTATCTTTAGGTACCACAACCCTAAACCGAAGCTAAACGAAGCAAAAAAGGTTCCGATTAAAGTTCTTCCCTCCAATCATCGTTTGTTGTCTACGTGGATGCAGTGATTAAAATATTATTCAAGAATTTCTTGGTTTTTTTCAATACGTTTTTTGAGTAATTCACTGAAATCGTGAATGACGTTCCGGGCGGCTTCTTCCTTAGAATTTGAAATTTCGTTTCCGATCAGGCGGACGAGCTTAAGTTGCTTGACCGTTGTTAGCCACAAGTCCAGACGAAGCTGATCGAGCTGCTAGTGTCGACCAGTCAAGGACTTTGTGCTATTTACAAACGGATCTTCGGGTTGGCTCGTCTTTCGCTTACCCATAAACAAGCACATTGAAACAGATGCAGTAGCAACGGATGTAGATCAAGTACAACCAGTGAGTATCTAATCGGACGTTCACTCCGTATAATTCTGATGCGGGACAAGGATTTACGTAAAATGTGAAAGCGTTAAGCCTCAGACCAACAAATAGAGTTTCCGATTGTGTGTACCACACTAGTGCGCAACCACACCAGCTAGCCACTGAACGTAACAGTTCGTGTTGAGGCAATACTATTTGTGATCTAGTGCTTCCCCAACTATGTGACTGGTATTAACAGCTCGCTTTTGGCTATGCCACCATGAGTGTCCTACTTGAACTGAAGCTTGACACGACAAGTGCTACCATGTCATGAAGTAGCGCGAGGAAGCGTAGGAGCGGAGACAGCGAGTAGATACAGTTGTAGGGGAGGAGAGGAGTTGCTGCGCGAAGGAAAATTGAGAAGTGATTAATCAGTTAGAGTTGGCGGCGACAAGCTAGTAGCTGCCGCACAACCAGTAGTTCTTGACCACCGGATATTCACGCACGTATCCGGGTCCCATCCTAATACCTATCTTTCTCAAATCCTGATTTTATCTGTAGCTACCAATGAAAGCCTACAAATCCTAAATCCTATCTTGGTCGAACATTTCGCACAGCGTCCCATAATACCAATTTTCGGATGGAAGCTTGATTGTTGCAAATCCATGGAATTTTGGACCAATAGGATTGTAGTATTATGATGTAAAGTCACAATCTTAAGTTTACGCCGATCAAAATAATCTGGCCAGCTGAACTCAAATAATTGGCGTGGCTGGTCACTGTGGCCAGTGACCACCACGTCACACTTTCAAGCTGCGTATGTGGAATTTATGCTGGAAAGGTCTGGACTAGTCGATGCCAAGCCTGTTCGATCACCTCAAATGCACAATGAAGCAGCCCTTCGTGTCGATAAAGACTTCGAATTGGTAAATGATGCTATGCTACCATTTCATGAGATGGTAGGATCGCTTACCTAATTCATTGAGCACGTCCTGATTTGGCAAATGTGGTGAGATCATTTGGACGTTATGGGAATTCGTAAACGAAATAATACTGACGCAATCCAATACTTCGCTCTTTTCATTTTTTTGTGTGCTAACCTTTGATTGCTTAGTGATCTGCAGCTCGTTACAGAGTGAGAACAACTAGTCCTACGCTACCTAAGACAGAATACCACCAGCCTCCGCAAAGCTATTTATTACCATACTCACCATCACTTTCAATAGGTATACATTCCGGTATGTGGGTCCATAAACGAAGATTATCATGATACATCAGGTTCGTAATATGAGCTAGATATTATGAGCACTTTTTTTAATCGTAATACGGCAAAGTTGTCTATCCACTTCCTCAATTTGCCATCACTGTACATGTACTCCTTTTCTGCGTGAGAATCTGGCTTGCAATTCTGAAGTATTTAAATTTTTTTTATTTAGCATAACTTAAGGAAAATGCTAGGAAACAGTCGCAAAAAGTTTGTCTGTGCATAAGGTGCTCATTTAAAAAAAAAAGTAAGTTAAACACGAATTCAGCTTCATCATCTTGACAAAGCCGTTTTGGGGAATAGAGATGCGGTATTCTCAGATATCAACTGCTTTATCGAATAAATCTCAATCTCAGTGGCAAGTCTCCTGGTCAGAGCAGAAGTACATGTACTGTACGATCCTACGAATCACGTAAGCCCCACATCACGACTTTCGCCAATAACTACTTTACCGAGTCGGTCGTCCACTTTAAATGGTGAGGCTTGTCGTAAGACTGTTAGCCTTCATCCTACTTACTTCAATGGTAGCAGCTAAAGGACAAAGTATGAGCCATGTGCGTGGAGTTTAAGACTCTGTCTCTTAAAATTGGTATATATGTCCTGTGTGTCTATTTTATAGATAAATCGGCATCTCACTGCCACACGTAGAATTAAAACTAAATGGCTCAATCTTATTGTGGTTATATCAGTGTTACAGATGCGAGCAAATTACATTCAAAAGTACATAGTTAGATTCTTAAATATCGCGCCTTAGATTTATAATGTGGCTTTCCTGCAGAAACGGTATTGTTCGCGCCCCATAGTGTTGTATCGTGTATATAACTAATATTAAAGGTATATGTTCATAATTCGCAAATATCTTACTTTTGCGCCTGTGGCTGTACTTAGTAGTCAAGGACAAGGTTTGGCACTTCAAGCAGCAGCAGTACAACAGCCGTATTGCGGCTACTTTTAAAAATAATGAAACTAAAAAAGTGCTCGTAATCCTGCGATTCGAATTTCGAACCTGATCACGGTTGTTTCATGCATTACACACCAGTGTATAGAAGTCATCTCGTGCACGATTGCATCCGGAATGGTGCCCTTACGATTTGATTGAAATTGAAGCAATCAAATTGATTCAAGCTACGAGGATTATTCATTCCGGACAATTCACATAATTTGTGGTTCGCAGAAGTTTGATAAAAAGAGCGACCTGGAGCATGAATTAAATTTTATTTTGATGGCGACGGCGGTGTAGTGGACAGCTGCTGAGCGAGTGTGGAGCGCGGCGGCGACGGTGGCACTGGTGGTGGGCGAGCGAGCGTTAGGAACGAGCGGCACGACGGCGGTGAGCGAGTGTGGAGCGGCAGCGGGTGAAACGAACCATCGCGGTTTGGGTGGGTATATGGGAGGGCGAGGCGCCGTTGATATCGATTGCCAAGTTGTACGTGTTCAGCGCGCGCCCTACAGCGTGGTGGTGTAGTGTGGGCGACGGTTCGATGTGAATTCGTGGTGGATCTCTTGCAAGTTGGTAGAGTTGGATTGGTGCGGCGTGAGTACGTGCGCGATCTGTCCACCGTGGTCAGTTACCATCCCGAGAGCAGGAACTAGTACTTCGCGGAGGTGAGCCTGGAGCACGTGTGCTGGACAACGGGGGCCTCGAGATCCTCGAAGACATGATCGTGGTGGTGGATGGCCAGACCCGAGCAACCTGGCCAATCCGCTCAAAGTCAGACGCTAACATCCTGCCGGAGAGCATCGACCAGTGTAAGGACTACAGCGCATTCGCAGTTCTGCTGGGCTCGCTGAACGTGGACCAGCCGGACGGAGGTGATGGATCTGATCTCGGCTCTGGAGTTAGCGCAAGAGGTGTGTGTAGTACCTGGTTCTTGTCCCTCCCTGTTACGTGCTGTCGGATGTTGGTATGTTTGTGGCTTCGGACGAGATCCATCTGGAGGATTACCTGAACAGCAACGCAGACAAGATGTCGCGCTCCCTCGCCGTGTCCAAGGTCGTCCTGAATGCTAAGGAGATCGAGTTCGACGGTTTGGCCAAGGACGGCGCCATATCCATCTACGCCACACGCCAAGCACGCCCGCGTACACTCTGAAGACGCCACACTGGTGCAGCCAGTCCAGCAACTGTATTAGGGCACGATCAAGCAGCTAGCACCATCGCACAGGCGCTTAACGTCACGGGCCCGCTTACCACGTACTAACACCACACTCAGGCAATGGCCCGGGCTAACGACGTCAAGGCGATCAGGGGCATCCTGCGCGCCTGTATCGACTACGTGGGCGTTAAGGCGCCGCTGTTCTCGCTCACGCGTCTGCACGGCGCTGGCCCGAGTATGGGTGTGGAGTTGGGTTCGACCGGTGAGATGGCCCGCTTCGGCACGGGCATGCACGAGGCGCATCTAACGCGCCCGTGTGCCAGCTTCAGGATGCCCAAGGATATGGTGCTGATCTCGATCGGCAATCAGGACATCAAGCGCGAGTTTGCGGAGGGAGCTCGGATCCTGCAGGAGCTGGTTTCGATGTGAAGTTGCGTCGTTGAATCAAATGCTAGCATATAGTAGTTAAACTAAATGTTTGACTAGGATGCTTGTCCTTACATGTTTAGATATCTATCGACAATCAAACGCTGTAAGAAAAATATTTTAGTTGCACTGTACTTAAGTAACCCATTAGCGGCGGGGTGTCAAACCCGCAAGTGTACAACCTTCAAGCTGCAGTTTCATACTACCGGTAGTAATGCTACGATGGCGCTGAAGACTTGATATGCGGTCCGTCACAAAGTGCAATTATCCAGCAAGGAACAGGCGCAAAGCCTTTCGCATAATGGGTTGGAATGCAAAACACCTAGCCCTAGTGCGATAAGATTGGCTAAATCCTTGAATTTTGGTTCATTTCTGTAGTCTCATTGATGCGCTCAATTATTAACCCTCTAAGAGGTTCGGGTCTCCGGACCGAAGGGACTTGTGTTCCTAATCGATGCAGGAGAGTCTACTTATAGTATATATATTTGCTTAATTGTTTAGAATTTTGTCAAAACAATATCAAATACAGAAATTTCATTTAGAAATTAAATGCTTAGGTGATTTTGTATTTGTTGACCCGATACTTGCTTCGACGTCAACGTTCTCTCGCCCCCATGACTAAGGTTTACATTCGTCCGCGGCCGCTCTCCACGTCAGAACAAGGAGATAAAACCATCGAATATGTCGTCGAAGATGATGGAACTTTGGTCATCGATGCCGAGAAGAAGTTCCCCGGTTTTGCTGGGCTTCTGTCGACTGAGAACAGCGAGGCTTACACCCAAGCGATCCAGCCGATGGTGTCTAAAATGTTGAATGGCACCACTTCGTGCTGTTTTGCGTATGGCCACACAAACAGCGGCAAGACACACACCATCTTCGGGTATGACACGGAGCCTGGAATGTGCCGACGTTTAGTCCAGGATCTGTTCACTGAAAGTGGTACCGACTTGCTCGTGCAAGTCCGATTCTATGAGCTTTACAACGGACAAGTGTTTGATTTATTAAATAATCGTCAGTCTGGGTTTGTTCGCGAGGACGCACATGGAATAATTCATGTTCGGAGTGCCACAACTTTGAGACCAAACGGATAAGTATCAACCCAATCCTTACAAGCTGCTTATGGCGAATCCGCTAAAGCCGTTCATGCCATTATTCGTCAAGGGAGAAGTCTTCGTGCAGAAGGGACATCAGAGCTACATCATCAGAGTAGTCGCTCCCATGCTTTTCTAGAGCTCGAGATCGTAACTTCTGCACTCGCTGAAGCGCGCCAACAAGTCGTGTTGGCGCAGTCCCGTGTGGTTCCTTTAGGAAAAGCTCGTGACGATCTGTATATTGAAATCTAGTCGAGATTATATGTGATCGTAGACGGGAAAGCCACTGCGACGGGTGCTAAGCCACCCCAAGAAGACCAAGATCGACTAAACACACTTCAAAGTCAAGTTGACGCGGCTGAGGCTATAGTCGCTGCCTTGAAAGCACAAGTTGATGATGAAAAGGCGAAATGTAATGGCGGGATGTTTGTACTTGTTGATCTCGCTGGTGCCGAGTACACAGGTGAAGGTTTGACACGCAACTCTAAGGAACAAAAAGAGGCGCGTGAGATCAACTCGAGCCTGTTGGCTCTCAAAGAATGTATGCGAGTTCAAGCTCGACAAAGCGCTGGCCACATTCCGTTCAGGAATTCAAAACTTACTATGCTGTTGAAGTGCTATTTGGAGACTGACAACCCCTCGTTTACAATTATGATCGCCAATGTGTCGTCAGCCGAGACGCACTTACGCAAAGCCTTGGACTCGATCAGATACGCAACATTGGTCGCTTCTGCATTTAAGACGACTCGAAACAAGATGACTAATCAGCGGTAGCGAACCGTGGGCTAACGACTGGGATTTCGACGATGACAACGTATGAAGATTGAATGAAGTAAACACAAGAGGAACTTGGTCAGCTAAACAGAATATTTTTTATGAAGATAGCCAGGAATACGGTCCACGTTCACTCTTTCTTCAGTGCGAGGGTTTTCGTGTATCTTGTCGCCGACTGAGAGACCGCTTCTCGCTTATTTTGCTCTGATCTTCAGGCAGCATTCCTGTCACACTTACCATGGCGTTACTCCCAGCTACAAGTGTTACTGCGAGTAAGATGCCATAGAGGAGGCGCATGACTGAGCTTGTTATTATAGTATTGCTGTCGGTGCCTAGCAATTTTGTGTTGCTGAGCGTAATTGAGGAAGTGTGGACCAAGACAAACATACCTTGGTGATGATAGAGCTTCAGATAAAATTGGTACTGTACAGTGCTTCAGAGTACTGTGCATGTACCCTGGTTCGTAAGTTGCGAACCTCTGCGTGCCAACCTGGTTACGATTCGTAACCGTGTTGGCACGCAGGGAATATCAGATCCAAGGATAACCCAAAAAATAAAAGTGATCTGCAATCTAAAGGACGCCATTTCTTGCCGTTCATTGTTCGCATAAATGTGGAATACCCTGTAGCGTACTGAGGCTGTATGAACGCCTTATTGATGCAGATGCTATGATTTTATAGGATATAACACATGCAGCCTGAACGAATAAGTGCTCGTTTCAAACCTCAATACAATGTACAAGTAGTGGCTTGCCGGTACATGTACTTTGTCGGGAAAATGACAAAATGTGACTGGGTATATGGAAGTTGTGACAGAAAGTTAAAGGTGTGCCAAAGCGTGAGCAAGGTCTGGTCAGTATCGCTGGTAGGTATACCAGGTGAAACCCGCGCCAATAAGTGAGGAATTTAGGAAACAAACGTCACAACGTGTGTCCAATCGATTTAATAGCTGAAACAAGGTGGATCGGGCCAAAACCAAAAAAAAAACGTTGTATACTAATGTTCGTCATGCTTAGGAAGACCCAAATCGCACAGTCGTAAGTCCCAAAACCACTTGTTACGACTGAGAGACGCAAAATGGCAGAGGACATCGACGACATCGCTGATGGATTGGACATCGGCGATGAGGAAAACACTATTCCAGTCGGAATGACTTTCGATACTGCTTCACATGCTCTTCATGCTGTTCAAGTCTACGCTTTATCTCATGGGGTCTGTACGAATAACAAACAGGAGTGGATCCATCACTTTATCGGCTACTCATCGGGGAACTGCCCGTTTTCCGTGCGTGTCTATCGGGCCCATTGATCCACTGCGTCGTAAAAACAAAACCCAATTAAGCCTTCAGCTAGCTGCAGGCAACCTAGCTGCTGCAGCCGGTTTCCGCACTGCACGCCGATTTGACAGTTATTTGAAGCGCAAAAAGTGCTGCTTAGAGCATTGGGGCAGCTCTCAGGCTCACAAACATTCTTACAGCCCGACCAATCCACGAGGCCTATATCAGGAACAATTATATCGTTGGGGCTCTCCGTGTGATCTATCTGGATAACATCGTCAGGCCAGGCTACAGATATGTTGCCGGTAGCGGTCTCAACCTGCTCATCTTCACTGCTGTCAAACCAGACAGATTATTTCTGGTGTGGGCGACTCTATCTTATTATTTTTGTCACTGTCATGTTCGACAGACGGGCTAAACTGGAGTTCGCCACTACCGTGGCTGTGTTGGTTGTCGTCGCTTTCGCAAGCTCCATTCAGGTAAATCGCGTCTGGGCTCTCTGTCTGATGGCCACCTTCACTGAGAACGCATGTATCCTTGTCTTCGGTGAGATCCACCAGCTTGACTAAATCAGCTAAATGTCCGACGTCTGCTTCCGTGTCCCTCTCTGTCACCGTCTTCCCTATTCTTGCAATCGACGGGACCGAGTAGAAGTCATCTTTGGTAATCGTACAGTATTCTCTCGAAGAATCGATCAAAGGAGGAGGACCATCTAGCGGGAACGTTGCCGCGTCGCTCGAGGACGAGTCAGCGTCCGGGATCTCGGACGGATGGTACTTCTCTAAACGTCCGACGTAGAATGTCGGATGTAGCCGTAGTGACGTAGGAATGTCGATCGTATTAGCGTCACCAATAACCTTGGTTACTGTAACGGCCCAATAAAGCACGGCGCGAGTTGCGCCGACGTTGGTGACCGCTGAGTTTCTGATACCGTCAATTGACAGGAGCACTCGCTCACCTGTCGTAAACGTGGCCGTGCTCTTGCGGCCAGTCTTGTCTGCATTCTCCTTCTGTTTGTCCACTGCGTCCTGCAGTGCGTCTCGAGCATTGAGATGCAACGGTCTTCTTGCCCTTTATAAGCACATAGATGTACTGAAGCGCTCCCGGGATGAAGGCGAGACACATTTTCCTTCCATCGCTATACCTGCTCGCATCCATCTCGAGAAATTTTTCTCATCTGCGCTCCTAGATGAGTGTTTTCTACGGGAGGGATAACCATAGGCCCCTTCAGGACCAGAGCAGAGAGTAGACGAGCCGAAAAGCAGCTGGTGCTGCAACACAACAGAGATGAAGTCGATAATATGAAGCAGGAGGCGTAAAGGAGGCCAAGCCGTAAAGTACGACTCGTACGTAGAAGCTTGGTATTAAGTAAAACAGATATTACTAGGATCTCCAAATAACGCTAGTAGTAGCAGTAATACCGCGTCTGGTCGAGACCTAGTAGTACCGCACAAAACGCCCCCGTTGTTGTAAACTTTGACTATATCTTGCCGTACAACATAAGGGAATTAAAAGTTCGTTTTACGCAAAGGCCCAGTGATGATGCACATGAAGTTTATCCGAAGCGAGCGTGTTTCGATCGACATATTTATGAGGGACCGTTTTCTACTGAGATGCATTTGAAACCTACATCGAAGTATCGGGATGAATAAATCGAAGCGATGTTACTACTTGGTTAGGGTTTGTGTATCACAAAAATTGCTACGAAAAATCATCTTTTTGCACTAATAATGGACCCAATTTACTAGATTGGCAATCTGGCACTCGAATTGCTTAGTGGACATGCATTGCCATGTAGCAATGCGGTAGGTTACCATACTGCCACAACCATTCTGTCACAGTCAACAACGGGTTTACCGCGTTGTAAAGGCGCTCCAACCGATGTAGTAGGTTACGATGCTCCATAATCATTCAACGACAGTGTAACCTCAGTGCAAGCTCAGCAAGAGTGGTATATTTTCAAGTTGGAAGGCATTCTGCCGCAGAACAAGTAGGTGCTCCATCATATTGCGATGTTATAGCTAGCGCTGCTGTACTTTCTATTATATGTTTTTCTTTGTTCTGCGCTAGTGCCTGTGCAACACAGCTATCCCGGTCGTGTTGATCATAGCCTTGTGCGAGATTGTCATCACGCGCTCACATGAAGGTGCCCAAGTATAACATTTTGCCGATCTTACCACCTCGTCTCGATGCAAATGTACGCAGCACGAAGTAAACCCGTAATTATCTAAAGAGCTAGTAGAGTTGGATTGTTAATGTATCTTTGCTAAAGAAAGCAAATATACATGTCATGGTACATGAGATAAACACTTGCTCCACACGTAGCCAGACCAGACGCTTCATCTTTGAGAGGTTGTCGCTAATACTCACCTAACACTTACGGTTTCTTAAAAACGATAAACCTTGCGATCGTAGATCTGGTACTAGAATACTTGGTGCTTCGTTATTACGGTGGTAACAAAGTTTGGCAAATAATTGTGCATTGATGTATCGATCGTCGAGCTCACTTTCCAGTCCCCGTATTTATTTCCTCACAACAGACACTACTAATGCCCGAAATATAGACCATATCCCTTCTGGATATAAAATAAAACACTTCTTGGCCACGTTAAAAATGAGGCCTTCTGACAAATCTAGAACGAGAATTAACTTGGGGGTGGGGCATCCGCATGAAGAGGTAAGACTAGCTGCTCTTAAGGTGTGGGTCGAGTTGGAATATGTAGAGACGTTGCAGCGCTGTGTTGTCTTCACCAGTGTCCATTTTTGCGACTTGGTCGGCCAAATTTTTAAAATGGACACAAAGCGAAACACTAAAACGAAGATCTCTTCTAATCCGACTGAACAGCAAAAATCACAACAGTGCAAAGAGCACCGAAGGCGTCATCTGCAGCGATATAAGCATTATGAGCGTCCAAATGCTGTGTCCTTACAGCTAAGAGACGGCTCCACAAGTCGTTTAGGCTGACGCTTACGTTTGGGTTTTACTCTACATGCTGTTGCTGGCTTAACAGCTTTCTCGAGCTTCTTCACTTTACGAGGAGCCTTCCTCACTTAAGCTTCTTTTAACTTATGTGCCTTTGCTCTTGCAAGTTGCTGAACTTCCTTGAGCATATCGGAATGTGCCATCAGACGCCTGCCCGCGACGAACTCTTCTTCGTGTGTTTTTGTTAGGAATAACCGTATCTGATATTTAAAGACCAATAGTAAGAACACACGCGAGCTCTGGTACAATGCCCATGCCTTTGAGGTGCCGATCGGTACGCATTTTCAGCTGCTGTGGAACAATTCCTGTAAGAGGAGTGCTGGCAAGCATCGGGGCCGCACAGATGATCTTACAGAGCATCTTGTCCCTTGACACCAAAAACAAAACAGTAGCTTATAATAATCCCATCATCTTTTCGGGAATAGACCCGACTTTCCGTGAAGGAGATATCAGTGCAGCCATGTCATCTTTAAGTGTCCAGGAGCCTCGATGAATCAAGGACAAATCTGCGACTAAGGCCTTGTAAGCCCGCTTTTCAGATCGAAAGACGAGGGACTTCAAAAGCTGGGTAAAGTGGGAGGTCTGGCATGGCATCGCGAAAATTTAAATCTTGACCGAAGCCGCAAAATTCAGGGCAATCCAGTGCAAGTGCAAGAAATGCTCATCTAGAATTAAGACGACGGGCCGCTCAATATTTCTTTTAGCTTAAGACTCATAAAAAAATCGCAGCTAATTAAGGAAA